GGTCCGGATAGAATCCAGTGGCCACACAGAGCAGGGTCTTCTTCCTCGTATTCTTGTCCTTTTGGTTTTTGCACTCTGCTTTTGAGGGTGGAAAAACTTTCACTATTGGTGGAGTGACATCGTGGTCTTTTTCTGAAAAGAGAAGAGAAACAAAATTTGTTAAGAACTCGGTCGAATCAGTTTAATTTAGAATCAGCAAAAATGTTATTCTGCACATGTTTGCACTGTCTTTCAGTGAATCTTCTTTTGCGATCGTCTCACCCAGAACTGTTAGCTTGGTTCCTTCTCTAAATTCAGGAGGAAAGCTGGCAGAACACACTGCTCACTCACATGGAAAAAAACCCGTCGACTACCTTATATTTCACATCAACACCAGAACTGTCAAACATTCTAAATGATTTTTTTATGCTCATTATTGGTAACTTTAAGATTACGGTTACCCCCCCATAACATACAAACCTAATGTCATTTACTTACTTAACATACACTCCATAATATTTACTCACTTAGAATTTGGTTGAGTTAGGGAGCAAAAATATCCCTAGAAAGAGAAGATTTGAGCATTTTCTTACCCAGCACTGTCAGTTTGGTTCCTCTGCCAAAGTAAGCAGGGTTATAGTTGCTCACACTGACACACAGCTGGATAAAAAACCTCTGCAGCTATGAGAGCTGCGTGCTCTTTTAGAGACACCAAAGACTATTCCAAACATGGTTATTTTAGCAAAACCATTTTACTAAATTGAAACATTTTAGCGCCAAATTAGTATGATTGTGATTTAAGGCTAGTTTACAAGCCTTCTTAAGCAGTTATGAATTTAAGTCACTTGACATTTTGTCTGTGCACTGCACTGGTAAAACGTGGAAGTCTTTGCTTTCTTACCTAAAACCGTGAGTTTAGTTCCAGCCCCAAAGGAAGCTTCTGACTGAGTATTCACAGTGCTTCACAGAGCTGATAAGAACTGACAGAGGGATACAATCGACGCTTAAAGCCAAAGACACTTTTACTTCAGAGTGTATTTTTTATGTAATCCTGGATTTTTTCTTTTTGACTGCCATGATATCAAATGTCTATCAATTATCTTTGAAATGCAGCTTAGAGAGTCCTCAGTTAACCTAATGGAGCTCAACGCAGTTTGTTAGAGGTTTTCACACCTAAAATACTGAGTTTTGTTCTAGCTACAAAGTGAGCCTCATTGTATGTAAAAACACACAGAACAGACTAAAAGTTGGAACAAAAACTCTTTTAGTGCCTCCTTTTGCCTCCAACACTGTTTTAATTTACATTAATCCTTTGACATATCTCAAGTTTGACTCAAACTGTATTAGAAAATGGGGATGAATTATATAATCAAACTATTCCTCAAACACATTTAATAGAATTATAATTGTTTTCTTACCTATAACAGTCAGTTTAGTTCCTTTACCAAAGAAAGCCTCTGAATAACCAGTGGCACAGTGCAGAGGCTTAACGCTCGTAACAGTCAAACAGGCCGCTTATAGTTGACATTTTGGCTGTCTTGAACCACAAATTTGGCTCTACTATAAAAACAAGCAGCTGCTGACATAACATTATGACAAACTACAGTAATAAATGATCACTCTTAATAAAAAAAACAAACAGTTAGAGGCAGCTGTATTGTAGTTTTCTTGTAGGCAAGGCCATCATAAGAAAGTAGGAGGTTTTACTTACCGAGAATAGTCAGTTTTGTTCCCTGACCAAAATGAGCTTAATACTGTTACACTGTTCACGCTTCACAGCAAAGAAACACTGAACTGACGTTCTACAGAGCTCAGCAACTCCAAGTTTGTTAAAGATCCACTCTAATGGGTACTTTTTATGGGCATTTTTCCCCACAGCTCTCTTTCAAGGGTCGCTACATGTCTTACCTAAAACAGTTATCTTGGTTCCTCCACCAAAGTAAGCTTCCGCAGCACCGGTGTCACAGTGAACATGAGGAGTGCTTAAAGCAGCCCAACTAGCTGCTTTTGTTTAGATTGAAATGTGATACGAAGTCCTGCTGTCAGTCAAAACCGTCAGCTTCCCATTGTTTTCACAAAAGCTAAAATCGTCTCCAGAAGCAGCCTTTTGTGTCTATTTTAGCTCAAACAGAATGGTTTAGCCCTCAGAGAGAGACCCACCATTAAAACAATCAAGTAACAAACTGCAACCACAGTTAATTAGTTTTAAGGCTTATGTGTTAAGCAGGACTGGTTATTATCTGAATTGTTTTCTTACCTAAAACAGTTAACTTTGTTCCTCCACCAAAGTGAGCTTCATTGAAACCAGAGTCACAGTGAACACGATCAGTGCTCAAATTAGCCCCAGATGTTGCTTTGACTGTGCTTCTTTGCCTTTTGAGTGCCTCTTAGTGATCATTCTATTTAATTTTTCTCATTCCTCAATCAACTTATATTTAAATACAGGCTGCTTTTTACAAGTATGGTGCAACAGCAAACTTTCTATAAAAAAAACAAACACCATATTGATAACTGCCGTAACTTGTAATTTTAGATGGGAGTCAATGAGGAGAAATTTTGAGGTCTTACTCACCCAGAACAGTCAGTTTGGTGCCCTGTCCAAAATAAGCTTCATAGTTGGCACAGAGCTGCAGCCTCATATGAAAAACCACTCAGCTGGTCTTAAACTACAGCTACCAGTTTAAAGCATGTTTCTTTCTCCACTGATATATGAAGTATTTGTTAAGAAAATTTTATTCTAATCCCCTCTTTACTCACCTAAAACAGTCAGTTTGGTTCCTTTTCCAAAGTAAGCTTCGTTGGCATTGTCACAGTGCAGCCATACTAAGCAAGAATCTCTTTCTCTACCAGATTAACGACTGAAAACTAATGATTTTTGCATCCGTCTTAATTCTAACACTCGAATTAAGGTGTAATACATAAAAAACACAGCATTAAAATGAGATATATACCTAAAACAGTCAGTTTGGTTCCTTTTCCAAAGTAAGCTTCACGATTGTCACAGTGCAGCAACACTGAGCAAGAATCTCTTTTTCTACCTGATTTATCTGTAAAAATTCTTTACTAATGCATAATTTTCAACATTAACGCTTGTATCAAACTGTAATCCACCAAAATACAATAATATAATGTGATATTTACCTAAAACAGTCAGTTTGGTTCCTTTTCCAAAGTAAGCT